CCCAGCGGAGAGGTGGAAGTTCAGTGCTGAGAGACGAGCGCACGTCCCCTTCCAGTGACCGCATCCAGCAGTCTCGAGATTGCCTTGCTTTGATCTGGGAGGCATTCCTTCGCTCAGTTTCAACTGAAGTGATTAAGCTGGAGATGAAACCTCCTCACATCTTCTGCCACACCTGGGATGCGATAATTGGCCATTGGCTTCCCTGGGCCATTCGAACGTGTTCGGAGGCCGCCCTGGACGGGCGAGCGGAGGGAGCGGCGCAGGCACCGTCGGGCTGGCTGCAGCTTGCGCTGGCGTTACTGCACTCTCTCCGTGCTATTTGCTGGTGTGGTTCATGGAAAATGGCCAAAATCGGTGCTGGGGTGGGTTCGTGGCAATGCTTTCTGCTTCCAGAAACTAATACTCAGGTCGGTGTTTGGCTTGAAACAGCTGAGTAGCGGCGAGAGATCAGAATATTGCTCATCATTTTGGAGCAAATAATGGGCTTCTAGTGTCCAACACGTTTTGTACTATGCCAGCAGACAAAGCAGAACAGCTCGTATAGCTTTCGTCTGTTAATTCACATTTTTTTCTCATCTCTTTCCCGTCTCCTTGCCTGTGACCTGATCAATTCCAGTGGCCGCTGGGTCCCATCCTTATTCAGCAAGTCATGGGACGGCCTCAATCTTTTTGACTGCATTTCATAGCCAAGGCTGCCCATGCCCTGAACCATTTTGTCCCTCTCCAAGCCCGGTCCATTCCACAAAATCATCTTTGTAACAGAGCAGCCAGCACTAAATGTAGTGTTGCAGGCATTCAGATAGCCGCGACATTATTTTATTCCATTCTTTATATTTTATTCTATTCTTTATACTGCTTTTATGTTGCTTTTTGATGTACTGACTGCTGCAGCAGCTCACAGATTCTCCCTGAGCTATCCACACTTGCTACCCTAATCTTTCTTCCTGAAATAAAATCGCGCCTCACGGCTGAGACCGAGGAATACGGCTTTTCTTAGCACGCTCCCCTGGGATCCGGAATTTCTCTGTCAACGGACGCATATATCAATGAGAGATGAAAAGCAGCTTGCGGAATGAGTTTTAAACATGTATCGCATACTTCATTGCTGCTGCTTATGTGCTACTCAGAAGGCCTTCTCAGAGTGTTTTCAGCCCATACCTCATGGCTCCTCTGCACTTAACAGGATTTTTATTTTTTTTTTCTGTGCAGGGATAGAGCAAGAGATTGATCTAAGTTGCCTACGTGTGTTGGTGAGCACCTCCTGAATAGGAAGGTTTTGTTGAATTCCCTGCTTACTTTCAGTGTGAGCACGTCTCAGCTTTTATCGAAGCCCCGTAGCCCGTGACGCGCGAAGCTGTAACGTAATCTCATCTCGCTGGGACGTTTCGCTGGGGAAGCGCGGCTGCTTCTGCCGATCCCTTTGTCACAACACGACTCCGTGTTACAACCTTAAATTTTAAGTGGCCAGAAGGGGAAGGCAAGTCTGCCTTCGGCCCCTTGCTGCTTGCTGGGCTCTTGCAGTTCCATTGATGCCTGGGGTCTTCCAGATGGATGTAGAACT